CTAAAACTGGTCACGTGCGATTAGAATGAAAACATATCCCAGAGAACAGACCAACTCGGTAAATAAGTGTTATTAACCCCAGGTTCATTTTGTGCCGGAATTGTCCTTTAAGCTGTATATGGCCTTGCCTGCATCTCATACCTCACACATCAGTGGAAACAAGAAGCCGGAAATATAAGATAAGATTTTAAAAAATAAAAAAAACAATTTCGATTGCATTTCCTGTGTATAACCACAGCTAATATACAGGAAGAAGATATCAATCAAAACGTGTGCATCTGCTAACAGGAATCTGTAAGTCTCAACAGCAGCAAGTTGAGGTGTCCCAGTTCATACCTATCATATGCACTAATAAATATACTGCTTAAGAGCATTTCAGAAATGTAATTAAAAGGTATTAAAAGATATAAATCACAAGAAACACACAGTGTAATTTGCAATTCAGAATCCCATTGGTGATCTTTATTGGTTTAATGTTTAGAAATCACAGATTAAAAGAGACACCTTTTTACCCTTCATGCAAAGCATCACTGGAGAGATAAATAATGAAGACAACCAATAGACACTGATGTCTTATGTGACTGGATATTGTAACTGTGTGCAAGTGTCAGATTTAGTTGCTAAAAAAATAAGCCTGTGTTCACCTAATATGTGAGTAGATAGTAATAAGTGTATGCTGGGATCTGAGATAAACTGTCAGTAGAGTGTTCAGTCAACCTCCTCGATAGTTGGGCCAGAGGAGGAGCCGCCTCCAGCTCCACCAGGGAAGCCACCAGGCATTCCCCCAGGCATTCCTCCAGGCATTCCTCCTGGCATACCCCCCTGGTATAGCTTGGAGATGATGGGGTTGCACACTTTCTCTAGTTCCTTCTGCTGGTGTTCGTACTCATCCTTCTCTGCTGTCTAGGTTACAGAAGGAATGAAGAAGTCATTTCAACAGGGAAGTGGGGGAATTGCTTCACATTGTTTACAAGATATGAACATACTGTAGGAAACCACTCTGCCTTCACAATGTGAGCCAAAGCAGAACCTCTTTCATCACGATTCGTTCAGTCAATACATTTTTACCTGGTTTCTGTCCAGCCAGGCAATGACTTCGTTGCACTTGTCTACAATGGCCTTTTTGTCCTCAGGGCTGATCTTTTCTTGGAGCTTCTCATCTTCCACAGTGCTCTTCATGTTGAAGGCCAGAGACTCAAGAGAGTTCTTGGCTGTGACTTTTTCTCTCTGGGCCTCATCCTCAGCCTTGAACTGCTCTGCCTCCTGCACCATCTGCTCAATGTCCTCCTTGCTCAGTCGCCCTATGGGAATATAAAATACCATGCTCATTACCTCCTGTGCAATATTTGTTTTCATTTATTCTCTGTTCATTCTTTCAACTTGTGAGCTACATTAGCTTTGTAATGCTCCTGAAGATTTAATGTGATTATCTACCTTTGTCATTGGTGATGGTGATCTTGTTTTCCTTTCCAGTACTTTTGTCCACTGCAGATACATTCAGAATGCCATTGGCATCAATGTCAAAGGTCACCTCAATCTGAGGAACACCTCTGGGAGCAGGTGGAATACCGGTCAGCTCAAACTTGCCCAGAATGTTATTGTCCTTGGTCATGGCTCTCTCACCTTCATAAACCTGAAAACAATTACTTAATTCAAATTCTGATGCCTCAGTGAATACGCTCAGGATTAATTGCAATACACAGGGGCAATAAGGAATTAACTGTTATTTGTCTGGAATGTTACTTTACTATGGTTGCGCTACCTGAATGAGCACACCAGGTTGGTTGTCTGAATAGGTAGTAAAGGTCTGGGTTTGCTTGGTGGGGATGGTGGTGTTCCTTTTGATAAGGACAGTCATTACTCCTCCAGCTGTCTCAATTCCCAGGGACAGGGGCGTGACATCCAGCAGCAGGAGGTCCTGTACATTCTCAGACTTGTCACCAGCCAAGATGGCTGCCTGCACAGCTGTGAACAAATGGGGAAACTAATGCCATGAACAGCTTTCGTTTAAACCACTTGGTCGTGACAGCTTTTATACTAAAATAGTAATATGACTAGAAAATGAGAATAACATAAATAAGGATACCCACCTGCACCATAGGCCACAGCCTCATCAGGGTTGATGCTCTTGTTGAGGTCACGGCCATTAAACAAGTCCTGCAGCAGCTTTTGAATCTTGGGGATACGTGTGGAGCCCCCCACCAGGACAATATCATGGATCTGACTCTTATCCATCTTGGCATCCCTCAGGGCCTTCTCCACAGGCTCGAGGGTTCCACGAAACAGGTCTGCATTGAGCTCTTCAAAACGAGCCCTGGTGATGGAAGTGTAGAAATCTACCCCTTCGTAGAGTGAATCAATCTCAATACTGGCCTGGGTGCTGCTGGAGAGGGTGCGCTTGGCACGTTCGCAGGCTGTGCGCAGACGACGGACAGCTCGTTTGTTGTTGTTGATTTCCTTTTTGAACTTGCGCTTGAACTCAGCAATGAAGTGGTTAACCATGCGGTTATCAAAATCTTCACCACCCAAGTGAGTGTCACCAGCTGTGGACTTGACCTCAAAGATGCCATCCTCGATAGTCAGGATTGACACATCAAAAGTACCACCTCCAAGGTCAAAGATAAGAACATTACGTTCACCGCCAACCTAAAATGAATGATAAGAATTACAAATAGAAACATAAATCTGGTTACAGTTTGAATTGTATTATTTTTATTATTATTATTTTATTAGTTAGTAACCTTTTTGTCCAGGCCATAAGCAATGGCTGCAGCAGTGGGCTCATTGATGATGCGCAGCACATTAAGTCCAGCGATGGTTCCAGCATCTTTGGTGGCTTGACGCTGAGAGTCATTGAAGTAAGCAGGAACTGTGATAACTGCATTGCTCACTGGCTGTAAAGACAGTAGACTTTGAGTCAACACGCAATTATCTGTCTTGCTGCAAACATGCAAAAATGTGATCAGAAGCCACAAGGCACTCATAGAAACATTTTCTCACAATGTGTTTTGAGGTGGAGGAAAGTGCTTACCATGATTACGAGGTGTTACATTTTAGATATGGTTTTCTGTGTGTAAACAGGTGTAGATACTAGATACTGTTTCCTGACAGCTGTGGCTTGTCATTGCCATGCATAAAACCAAACTACCCTATGTCCTTTCAAGCATAGTGTTATACACTTATATCTACCTTGCCGAGATAAGCCTCGGAAATCTCCTTCATCTTGGTGAGGACCATTGAGGAAATCTCCTCAGCGTAGAAGGTCTTGATCTCACCCTTGTATTCAACCTCCACCTTGGGTTTCGATGAGTCATTCACAACTTTGAAGGGCCAATACTTCATATCTGACTGCACCACAGCATCGTCAAACTTACGACCAATTAGACGCTTAGCATCTGAAGGAGATATAAGAGACAAACAAGACACTGTAAGTTCACAGTGTGCAAGCAAGTTTTCTTCTCAAAAAATAACTTGTTAGCATGGTGAGGAGACTGAAAATAATTATTTTGGATCACTGTTTTCGAGTCTGTTGTGTTTTTGGTGTTGCAATCCTCACCAAATACAGTGTTGGCTGGGTTCATGGCCACCTGGTTCTTTGCAGCATCTCCAATCAGTCTCTCAGTGTCTGTGAACGCCACGTAGCTGGGCGTGGTCCTGTTGCCCTGGTCATTGGCAATGATCTCCACTTTGCCATGCTGGAAGATGCCCACACAGGAATATGTGGTGCCCAGATCAATGCCTACTGCTGGTCCTTTAGACATCTTAGATAGAAGAAAGAAGTAAAAAAGGTAAAAGAAGCGTGTTAGTAACTGTGGCCTTTTTTTGGACAGTATTTCCAGATTAGTGCATGTATTCATCATCACTGAATTAATTTTATTCATTATGATGTTTATGATTGTAATAGTTTTGTACTTATAGAATGTGTATCTACCTGCATATATGTACACCCACATATACATTCTGTAGGCGTATTTATAAAGGTGTGCCTTTCCCTTTTATCTACATAAGCTGCATCTGGCATGGCCATGTGAGGCTCAGCTAGTGCTGGAGTTACTTCCATGGATCAGTGGCTCAAATCACGTCCTGACACTTGAGATGAGAGAGTATGTCACACTACTCTTTGACTCTCTTTCCACACCACTTCTCTCTCCACTCCTCTCTCAGCAACATAAGACTAGAGTGTCTCGGTCAGGCTGGTGAAATGTTAAATACTGATCCTGTAATAGTGATCGGTGTGTCTATTTTCCAACAGCTGGCTCCAAATAGCTTACAGTTACTATAATAAGAATGAGCACATCTACATGGCAATGAATAGAAGGTGCTCAAAAATTAAGAGATGATTTATCAATGACTAGTGGGCAGGACTTCCCTGTCTCCTATAAAAAACCAAAAATACACACAAAACTACAGCTTTTAGGTGCAGTAACGTATTTGATTAGTGAAGAACTCAACAAAAGCTTCTTGTTGCATGTAGCCGTAATCTGACAAACCCAGCAAAATGGGACAGGAAATAAAACCTTTTTAGAGGCAGAGGAAATCAGAAACACACAGCTAAATATTACAACAAATAAAGCAAAAAAACTGCCTTGATTAAAGTTTGAAGATTTTTAGATGATCTTTTTTCATCTGTTTGCATAATGGGTAGAAGTAGAGACTTTCTTCCTTCAATGTCCCAGAACTGCTTCAACTGACAGACTATTGAATTATCACTTGTTATCCAGTTGCGTAACACAGAGCAGAAAATGCTGACAGAGTGCTGTTGCTTCACTACCTGTCCTACGCCCACATCTGAAACTTTCCATGTAATAACACGTTGGCCTGCTACATATAAGCAACATGCTACATAAAGTGCTACATATATGGAGGTCTGTATTAAATTCTGTCATAGCCATACTGTATAGTTAAGAAGAGGAGGCAAGGTGACATTCAACTGACGCTGTTTTGATATGGAAAGGAATCATTAAAATCATCCAAACGGACATTTGTTTGCTTAACAGCCTTTGAACTATGTGGGTTTGTTTGTGGTCATTCTGCTTCAGCCTGTCATGCAATTGTTTTTGACAGAAACCATGCAAGCCTGACGTATGTGGAAATACCTCTCACATTTGGCAGTTAGGTTTTTAAAGCAGCAAGCAAGACAGACTATGAAGCCAGGCTGAATGCAATGCTTCTCATATAAGGGGTTACCTTGTGCTGTCAGACGTTCAAGACTCGAGAGTTTACTGAGTTACAGTGGTGCCTAGCACACTCCTCTCCAGCACTCCTTTCCCTCTCCTGGCAGGCGGACTAAGAGGGCGAGTGTCTCTGCTCCCTAGTGTATATAGAGTACCATGCAGGGAGAGCCCATCAGGGTGTCAGGTGACACCAAGGAAAGTTCTAGGCCCATATTCCTGCTCATTGACTGGATTTCCTTGAAAGAAAGCTTGGTGTTACCTCTGAAGCTCTCTGCTGAGCAACACAATTTCAAATTAAAAATGTAAAATGACATAGGGCTTTATCTGAACCAAATGTGTTTTTATTACAGAAACTTCTGTCTTAAACACATTTGATCATAAAAAGCTTAAAATCTCATCCAGATGTAAATTCCATTTGCAGTATAGAAGCTGTAATTAAGAGGTCACATTATTAGCTCACTTGAGAAATACACATTTGTGACATGTTTTGCATGCTGGCAGGGGCCAGGAGGTAGAGCACATTGTCCATTACTCACAAGGTTGGTGGTACAACTCTTGTCCACACATTCAATTGTCCTTGAGCAAGACACCAAACCTCAATTTGGTCCTGATCGGCAGGCCAGCACCTTGCATGGCTGCTCCACCGTCTGTGTGAGTATGTGTGAACAGGTTAATGCCAGAAACAGTCCCTTTACACTGATGATCTGTACAGTCTATCTGCTTTATGTGTGAACAAATGTTACTTTTGAGGAGGGAGAATGACTGTAGTTGCACAAAGGCGTGTGCTTTTGTGTGGTAATGTTTCTATAAGGGAACTTTATTCTTTTGCATAACACATTTCAAAATCCGTTTTTAAAGACCTCCTGTGTAAGACAACACCACATATTAAACAATCTTGAATAGTTTTATTGAGGTATAATTTTTCAGGTTGTTTATATCCAGCATGTGTTTCTTTCTCTATTTAAGACATTGTTATGCAGTAAGTTTTCCTTCCCCTTACTGCACGATCCCTCTGCCAGAGCTAAAAAACTGAACATCTATTCTTGTTACATAGGCCTCTTTGACACACAGGCCATCTGGCATTAAATATAACTGCAGTTTGTTACAGACACCACCTGTTGCAACACACCACATCATAGTATTCACACACACATGTCAAGCAGTGGTTTTCTTCTAGCAGTTGAATATTGCATAACCCGAAAAAAATAATTCTTTAAAGCTTTGAGTCTGAAGTACTAAGACATTCAACTTAAACGTTTCATATTCATGGTCGTGTTGGTCAACTTTTATACAATAAATACTGTACATTTATAATGAACAGCCGTAAGTGATCAGACTGAAGGTAAGCAGCCATTAGTACATCAGTGTTTCCCTCAGAAATAAAAACTAAGAATATGTGCCATCAAAAAACAAGGAAAAGGGGAACTATGGATTATACGGCCCCTGTTACAAATTACATTTTCAAAAGAGTCTTGGATGTCACATCAGGTATTTCAATAGTAGCTATCACTTTAAAATAAGTAAACTGCGGAGTTGATAAAGAAAGTCCTCTTGTTTGCTCTTGTGTGCTCTGCACCGCCCATTCATATAGTCCCAAGCACAGCGCTTGCAGTAGTTGTACAAATGGCGTTCTGCTTTCTTCAGTGTGCTGTTCAGGTCCAGTGTTCCCTGAAGGCTGCTCAAACAGGCAAAGGCGTAATCAATACATTCATAAACAAATACACAATCCCTTGTTTGTGATGACATTTTCATGCCTTAACATACAGACAAACCTGTTTGTGAACTGGATGAGTTGTACATCATCTCTGCACCGCAGCAGAGACTCTCTGTTCTCTAACAGGATGGCTGCACAGATGAAGAGCTCAAAGGTGAAGTCAGTGTTGATAGCCTGCAGCTCTGACTGTGAACTGTCATCTGCGAACATCACAAGGCAGAGACATATCACTAAAATATTATGCTAATTATAATGCTCCAGCTCTGTCTTCTTAGTCTGAGACTCTACTAGAGTAGCTTTGCATGATTTACTCTTCAACAACATCCTTATTTATCTTATATCAGTAAATATCTAGCTTTACTTCACAACTGAAAAAGCTTGAAGAAAAAGCACTGGAATCATGTCATTCAGAGCAGTCTGTTCATATGGTTTTTGTTTTACATACGTTTACCCCATAATTTGACACTTTGGCCTCATTAATATCAACATTGTAACAGCATAAATTCAGCCTTATTTATTCTGCGAACAAAGTTCTGTGTTTCACCTGTGCTGCATTTTCGTGTCAGCCTTTCCTGATAACGGGCTCTATCTACTTGTTGAGAGATAAGCTCCAGGTGGTCACAACTCAAGATCTCGAACAAACGTAATGCGTCACTGTGTTCAAACTCCCTCTGGAAACCCAGCAGCAGCCACCTTAAATGAGGGGCAACACATGCACACATGCACACACAAACACAAACACAAACAAAACAAGCACATGGAATATAAACCCATATTTAGATTTAGAGAATGAAAATACAGAATGGTACCAAACTGAGTGCAGATTTACCTGTGGCAGAAGGTGAAGCTCTCCATGCTGTCTGTGACCAAATGAGCATAAAGCTGAGGGTCCAGTTCCTTCAACAGGGCTGCTTCCAACTCTAAAACAGATTAAACACAACTCTTTCATATGCTTATACTGCAGTATCTAAACTAATGTATAGACTGACTGTACTGGAATCTGTTTTGAATAGTTTTATTTCTAGTTAGTTCAGGAACTGTTTGTTTCTGGTTTTGGCCCAGTGTTATGTTATTGTTTTGGAAATACACTTTCAATATCCCTGTTTTACCACTAGAGGTCTCAATTTTGTTTTTGAAATTTCATTTAGGAACAAATCTCATTACACAACATGCATATCTTGGAAACATAACACTTGTTATACATTAAGTTGCATTTCTGTTTGCTAATCTCACCTATTTTCCTGTGCAGACCATCAGCCCTAAAGTCTTTGGAGAATTTCTCCATGTAGCAGGAAAAACTCCAGAAAGTGTCCACCTCAGAGTCAAGGACCTCCAGGAAGCGGCTGCACAGGTCATTCATTCCTTGGGCATAACTGACCTCTGGATTAACAATCAAGACAAGTGGAGCACAAACAAACAGTAAGTGTCTTTCATGGCACACCACACAGCCTCTTGTGCTGTCTGATCTAGCCAGTGTCAATGAACCTGAAGAGGCCTCATCCTTGTTGTTTACCTGGATGAAAAGCAGCATATGTGATGAGGATATCTCTCAACACCAACAGATTGCCCAAACCTTCACCCCTGCAGACACATACATTATTAGTAAGGCATAAATAAGAAGTTAATCAGCAATTATCAGAAACTATAATAACTATAAACTACAACAACTACAATATTAAATTATGTTTTGCAAATTATCTCAGAGACTCCAAATCCAATTTAGTCGTTTTTTTAACCTTGTGTTTATCTAAATTTATAGCACATACTTGAGATCAGTGGCTTTCAAACTTTCTCATGTCAAGCACCCTCAAACTGACACAAATTAGTCCTCATTTTATAAGATTTTGTCCCAGATTTTGTTGATGTGGTCTTTAGAGTTAGTTGTGTTAGAGTTAATACCAATAAATTAAACATGACCGTCTATTGCTTTTTGTTTTTGGCATCAACTGAGGTAAATAACCCCTTTTAGCTGCTTAAAACTAAATGTATGGATCTTTACTCCCTCAGACATCACGTCAAGGGTCAGCAGTTCCAACACTATCTCTCGACTCATATCTAAAGGCTCACAATCACTCACTGGTAGTAGCTCAGGTCTCTGTTAGTTCTCGGTACATCCTTGTCAATGATTCGTATGGCTTCCCGCAGCTCCACTTGATCAAATGTGACCCGCTCAAACAATATCTGGTGGGGGGAAAGAAATGCAGACACAATTGATTTTGATCTCAGTTTTAATCGTTTTAGTGGAGTCAATACATTTAAATACACTTATTTTTTATTCTGGTATTAGAAATGGGAATAATAATGTACAGGCTGTAAACTAGTGTCAGTAGTTTGAAGTGAGTATCATTCTGTTAAAGTTGGTTGTGAAGTATCACTATCTGTATGCACAAATCTATCAGCTGCACTCACTCTTCAGACAGAAGTGTTAAACACTTCAGCTAGCACAAAGAGGTCAAATGATACCACTGTTTGTTTAACAAAATTAGATCCTGTTGTGTAATTTCCCTAAACACACTTCACTCCTCCCACTTTAAAAAGTTCATCTTTTCTCTTCTACCAAACAAAGCCAAAGAAAATATATTTAATGGAACTACAGAAATCTAACAAATATAATGTATTGTATAGAAAAACAGAAGTTCATATGAAATAGAAAAGATAAATATAGATTAGAATTACAGTAACATATATCTAACTCATCTAACCTGTGCCTGCAGCTCCAAGAAAGCCAGTCTGTCCCTGACCTCCTCTGACTGGTCCTGGGTCTGTTGCTGGGCCTGTGCCTGCCTCTGGTCAAAGTACCTGACCGCTGCCACCAACTCAGCTGGATGAAGATCATATGGTCACAGACATTTTAAAAACAGGAAAGCAGAGCAGAGAAAGTTTTGAAATTTGATTTCCTTCATTGTGACAGAGTTGGTGCACGTTTGGGGTTTTACCATCAGTGCCGTTGAGATGCATTTGCACAGCTGAAGGTAGAAACTGCTGCCACTTTCTCTTCATGACCCGGTAACGTACAACCAATTGCTCCTGCAGCAAAGAGCGCTCTAAAGCCGTTGAGCTGCATGGGTACATCCCAAACAGAAAGCGCCACACCAGGCCACGCTCAGAGGGAGACACGCCACCTGGACAGGGATTGAAAACATTTAGCTCACTGACATTGTGTTTTCAAGCCAAGAGGTTATTTCAGCTGTTATCATTTAGTCAAACCAAGCACCACCCGACCAAGTGGAACAATTAGAGCTTCACAGCTGAAAACAGAGAGAATCTTCAGGAGAGAAACACTGGTCCAGAATTTGGTGAACTTTACCCTTCTTTCACTGGGATTTGAGATGAGGATTTGAGATGTCTTATGTAATGTTTTGCTCTGCAAGTTCTTTAATCTTTGGTTTCCATGTTTGTAGGGATGGAATGTGCACAAAGGTCAAAAGGCCACAGAAAAAGAAGTTTCCACATTCCTGCCCATGGATGGTAGATTGAATGTGATGTGATACCCCAGCGAGAACTCCTTTGTGTAGACTGTCTTGTGCCCAATGTTCTGCTGAAGCCTTCAGGACTTTCAGCTATCTAAAAAAAAAAGCCAATCAGCATTCTAAGTTGGTACCAAGACCATCTAAGTGACAGTATAAGAACTGTTTTAAAACATTTATGAGGAGGGGCCACCTCTGAAACATTAATCCAGGCATATCCTCATTTCTTAGCATCACACACTGAATAGTTTTGTTTGACTGTTGAACCTCATGTGATTTTATTCTGCTCCTTAGGAATGGCATGTTTTGTTTTATCTCTGTAGTCACGCTGGAGTTGTTTGCTTGAAGGGGTCCGACATACAATGAAATGATCGATTTCAGAGAATGGCTTGACTGTGTCTCAGTTTATAGTCCTGCAGCAAAGCATCACTTGACTCCATCTTGGTTGACGCATTTAGACACTCATCATAGAAATCTTTGTTAAATTATAAACTGTAACAACAAAATACTGCATGTGTAGAAACCTGGGCACACACACATTTCTCTCCATACTTAAGCCACATTTTATATTATGAAATGTTTAATCTCCTTTATTAAATTAGACAAATTGTTGTTGCATGGCATATCACTGTTTGGATACAGAAATGTATGAATAATCCCTCAAATGTGAATTTCACTGGATTAGCAAAGATTTTGTATTTCTTAATGGGCATTATAGGATTATTTAAGATTTCTTCTTGGCCTGTTGTGACCTTAATCATTACTTTTTACTGTATTAGGCTAAAACTGAGCCACACTTGTTGCATGCAAAACTGTTGTTGCATATAAATGAAGAAGTTTGTCATAATGATGCAACTAAACTTGACATTACATGCCATGTGCAAAGCATGTGATTACCTAATATCTGCATCAACCCTTGACAGACAGACAGACAGACAGACAGATATACCGTTTTTGAAAATATGCATCCTCAGTCTTGACTCGTCGACCCTTCCCTCAGCGTCCATGACCCCAGGTAAAGTGAGACGTGCGGCGGACAGAGAAGGGGAGCTGACCGCGGCAACTCTCCTCTGGAAGCGGACATCACGCCGCTGACTGTCCGAGGAGCTCGTCTCTTCTCCCGCTGTCTGCCGTGGACTCCCGTTATTCAGATGTTCCATCACGCCACGCACAGGTGAAGAAGAGCTCGTCTGACGTGCCGCATCCACAACAGACAGCCCTCGGTCATCCCCACAGACTGCTCCCGTCGCTTCCCATCTCCCTGTGCTGAGCTTGGGCTGAAACCGAAACCAGTCAGGACTTATTCCTTTCTTTCCAGCCGTGTCAAATCGATCAAGATTACAAAACTTTTGTTGAAGTAGTTTTTCAGAAACGCATTTACAGCCCCCGCTGACTCTCATTCGTCCATCTGGGAGTCATATGACTGCACCTTGAGATCCGAGTTTGGCCCACATTCCAGGTGGAGTGAGTCTGGACTTAAGTGCCAAAGTTCACATTGGATTTGTGAGAGTGTCTTACTCCACCTAGTGGTTTTATTTATCAAAGACAACAACATCCAGCACAGCAGAAAGGTTTCCCGGAACAGTTTGTGTATTAATAAAAGCCATTGATGTGGCTGTGTGTGCCAAAACAAATCCATCATTCTTTTTCATTACTTTGAATAGGGAAATGTTCATGGGGGACAGCAATATTTGCTGGGAAAATCCCCAAATTAAGATATTTGAACTCCAAATCATTGCATTACTGTACCACATTACTGAAGTATTGAAAAGAGAAACGTGGCATTAGAAAACAATAATTTTTTTATGTTTTATATGCAAATCTTCAGACAATTTTCCAAATACATCTACGTCTTTTTCGTTGGACTTTTTAACACATTTTTTAAAAATTAATCTAAATGAATTTGACTGACTGGCCAGGCCTCTTTTAGGGGTGGCGCCTCTAGATCTGCTCCTACTTTGAATTTAGATTTTTAACTATATAGAAACAAGAGAAACAGTTCTAGTTGTGGTGTAATTATTTTCTTAATTAGATAAACATGTTAATATGAGGCTTGCTTACTGCTTTTCCCCGTTGCTCGTCCACGTTTGTGTGAGGACATGTTTGGATTTGTTTGTTTGTTTCTTTCCTTGGAATTGAATATAAAGAAACCCAAGAATAGTGGGTTAATTAAGCTCTTAAAGGACCCCACTGATTGATTGTGGGATACAAGGAGGAGCAAATTATGTGGGAAAAATAAAGTATGTATATAAGTAACTGAATAGGTTAAATCATTAATTTAATGGCCAACTAGTTCATGGCATCCCAAATCCAAATTGAAGCTCTAATGATAGACGGTGTCACATGTTGTACAGATTGTAAAACGCAACACTGTGTAAAAATCTTACACCAGTTCTAGCGTTAAGTCATGTACTGTATGTGTGATGGAGACAAAATCCAAAGTCTACATTCTGAAGTTTCAAACTGCAGTAGAAGGATAATAACATAAAGAGGGAATTTGGTGGTGACAATGTTTTGTCCCACTCGGACTGATGGAACCTGATATTAGTTTCAGCTAAACTTTGGAATATTTTTGCACTTGAAATTGCTCTATAGAAGGGATCTGTCTGTCGCCAGTATGGACGAGAGGAACAATTACAGCAGTCAAAAATGCTATCAAGTTTATGCACATTTGAGGATTGTATGAGGCCTTATCTGATTAAACTATAATTTCAACAGGACACACACAGCTTTTTCTGTTTCTTTTTTCTACTTATAAATGGAAACGTAACAAAATCACATAATTTCCATTCTATTTCATCTACTACTACACTTTTAATGTGCATAGGTTACATACACATACAAAGTGGAACTACCCTCCTCATGAGCTGGTCGT